TGCGGCTGGTGGGAACCGCACTGCTCCGGTGCAGTTTATTGTATTAGGGGGATGCTTGCCTCTAATCAGCTTAGCGGGAGGCCGTCCCCTGACCTCATTCCCACTTTAGCCAGGCTTTGTGCTTGTTCGGCGTGCACAGGGGGACTGGCAGGGCAGGACCCCGACAACACTCCTCTTGGCCAGACCCCTCCTGCTGGGAGGTGGTGCCTCCGCTTGCCTCAGTGGGACAGGACTGGCACTTCTCAGCCCAGGCGACCTGGCTGGTGGACGGAGGGGGGTCCTGCAGCCCGGGGGACGCCCATCTCCTCTCCCAGGAGAGGTGCTGCCTTGTGGGGGGGGGTCCATGTGGGAGAAGAGGAGCTGGGGCTGGTGCAGGTCTGGGTTGGTGGGAGCACCAGCCAGCTGCCATCGCCTGCAGTGAGTGCTGGCACCCTCCCGGCACCCAGGTCCTGCTCCTGGTCTGGCTGCTCTGCAATGCAGAGTGCTGCCGCTGCTGCCACCTCCTCCCCTGCGTCTGCAGGCCAAGGAATGTGCGTTGGCCCTTCGCCTACACTTTGCTACTGCTTGTGGCTTCCTGCCCTTTGCAGAGAGAAAGGGAGGTAGGGCTTACATTGTCTGCTCTGCGTAGGGAAGTGCTTGGCTCCAGCCCGGACCAGTGCAAGGAGGCGTTTGCTCCAGGCAGGAACTTCCCCCAGGCCATGCAGGCTGAGGGCTGCTCCCCCAGCCCCCCCCCCATCTCTGCTATGTTGAGCCACTCCATCTCAGAGGCTGACTCCTCGTGTATGGGACGCAGCCTGCCCAGCCTCCCCCACTGCCCCAGCCCCGGCCGTCAGCTGCCTACTGACCCACGTCTCCCCAGGGAGGGGCACTCTGGTTAAAAGCACTTGCTGATGGGAATGGGATACTTGGACATGTTCCTCCCCCACCCCCAGCATGGCTAGTGCTGCCTGGCATGCCAGGACACAGCCTGCCACTGTGCTTTCCACCCTGGCGTCAGCGGATTATGTCCAGGGAGCCATCACAGGCTGCCACGGGAAGCAAGCTTACTTCCAGTAAGCAGAAGGCTGCTGTTGGTGTAAGCGTGCTGTCTGCTACGGGCGGCCCGTACCTACACCAAAGTGTTCAGAGAGTCCAAAACCCTGGGACTCCGGCCCCTGCCTGCCACAGCACTGGTCGAGCTCCTGGCCTGAACGCACCATCCCCCAGAACAGCCCTGAATCGCAGCCAGCAGATCTGGGGAATCTCTCTTCCACCTTTCTAGTGCACCCAAGCCAAGCTGGATGGTGCCGGGGTCGGCAGGGCAGCACCGGGATGGAGGAGCTGAGCGCTCAGCGCTGGGCTCACACACAGCGCCCCACGGAGCTGCCGGGGAGAGTCCTTGTGCCTGCGCCCGGGCTGCGTCCTGGGGTGCGGGAGGGCTTGGGGAGCGGCCACTGCGCTCCCACCGTGCTCTCCTGGGGGTCCGCAAGCGTGAAGGTGACACCGCACTTGGCCTTACTGGGGCTGCCTTGGCCCCTTGGTTTTGGACCCCAAAGCTGGTTTTTAAATTATGACCCTTTCAGCACCATCTTTTATTCCCAGTGCCACACAGCTATAGGGTGGGCTCCCCGCTCTGGCTCCCCCCCAGCTCCCCGTCCACAGAGGCTGGAAATGCCTTCAGCAGAAGGTGGATGTCTGCCAGGAGCGCGACTCGGTGCGGGCACTTTGCTACTCCTGGCGCTGTCCCAGGAGGCAGCTCAGCGCCGCCGTCCTGCCTG